CACCAACTCCAACTTTAATACCAAATCCACAACCAACACCAAAACCAAAAACTATACCAAGACCAACTCATTCAAAAATATAAAATTCAAACAAACCACAACTCCATTACTTACATTACCAACCCCTCAAAAAACACCAATACAAAAATCAAAACCAAGATCAACACCTCAATCAAAACCTAAACACATATTATTCCCAGTATAATAATAATCAATCATTAATATCAAATTATGATACAATTCAATCTAATTGACTTTTGAGCATACCAACTTTGTTCTGGCCAAGCAACTTGGTAAACCATCAAAACCTTTTAGATGAATAAAACAATCGTAGCTCCATTATAACACGTGTACTGGTAGACCATTAATATCTGTTGAAAGAACTCACCAAGTCAGAAGGTGAAAGTTAAGCTCTTATCCCTACCAATCAAAAGATTTCATTGGTATTTTTATATTATATATTATTTCACCATCAATTATAATAATTAAATTAAAAAACAACAATTAGTATGTTCAATTTAATTATTATCAATTCAGATTTCATTTTTATATTTCATAAAGAGTTAGTTATATATAAGATAATACATTAATAAATAAATAAAGATTAAAAATTTATAACATATTTTTCTTTTTTTAAGTAAATTAATTTATAAAATTTTTTTTATTGGTTTTTATTTTTTTTTTTTTAAATTTACTTAATTATTTTATTTAATTGATTTTTTAAAAAAAATTAAACTATAAAAATCCAAATTTTTAAAAATCTAAATCCTAAATTTCATTTTTTTCGTGTATAATACTTTATTTGTAAATCATTATTTAAAGATTTAATAAATTAAAAAAAGGCAAATATAAAAAAATCAAAAAAAAAAAAAATCGATAAAGTTATTGAGCTGAATACAGATAAAAAATATACAAATATAAATAAATTTTTTGAAAATGATTATTGATTGTGAAAAAATAAAAAATAAAATTTAAAAAAAAAATATTTTTTTTTTTTTCGTTTTTAAATTTTTTTCATTTTTTCATTTTTTCACTTTATAATTTGATTTAATAGTTTAAATAAAGTAATAATAATATAAAATATATATCTATATCTATATATAGTCAATATATATAATATATTATTTAATATAATAATAATATTTATAATAAATGATATCGTCATCATTCCTTAAAAAAAACAATATTCTAAAAAATAATTATAATAATAGTAGTTTTTTAAAACAAATCTGTTCAATTAAAAATTTTAATAATAATAATAATAGTAATAACAACCATGGGAATATAATTAAAAAAAACTTTTATTGTACAGTTAATAATATATATTCAAAAAGCAATGGCGATAGAATGGATGTATCATCATTCACACCAGATAGGATCAGAAACTTTAGTATTATTGCACATATTGATCATGGTAAAACAACATTAAGCACAAAGTTATTATCGTTAACAGGTACATTACCAGAGAAGATTTATGGTAGTGGTGAGGATAGTTTGGTTCAAAAAGAAAAGAATGAGGATAGAAGAGAGCAGTATTTAGATAAATTGCAAGTCGAAAAAGAACGTGGTATCACTGTTAAAGCACAAACATGCACAATGATATATCGTAATAAAGAGGATGGCAAGGATTATTTATTAAATTTAATTGATACACCAGGACATGTAGATTTCAATTACGAAGTTAGCAGATCCTTGATGGCATGTCAAGGTGCATTGTTAGTAGTTGATGCTGTGCAAGGTGTTCAAGCTCAAACTATGGCAAATTTTTATTTAGCATTGGACGCAGGTTTGGAGGTGATTCCAGTTATCAATAAAATAGATTTACCAACTGCCGATGTCAATAGGGTAAAGCAAGAGTTAAAGGATGTTTTTGGATTTCATCCAGATGATTGTGTTTTGGTTAGTGCCAAAACCGGTATTGGAATTAAAGATATTTTACCAGCTGTTATTGAACGTATTCCACCACCATCATCCGAAGGCATAAAGAAAACATTCAAAGGTTTATTGTTTGATTCTTGGTTTGATAGATTCCGTGGTGTAATTTGTTTGGTTAAAGTTGTCGATGGTCAAATTAAAAGGGGTGAACAAATTGTCGCCGCTGGTAGTGGTCAAGTTTATGAGGTTTTCGATTGTGGAATTATGCATCCAGAACAAAAGACAACAGGTGCACTCTATACTGGTCAAGTAGGTTATATTACTCCAGGTATGAAAACAAGTAAAGAGGCTAGAGTTGGTGATACATTTTATATTAAAGATCATCCAGTAGAACCATTACCAGGTTTCCAACCTGCTAAACAAATGGTTTTCGCTGGTGTTTATCCAGTAGATTCACTAGATTACAACCCATTAAAAGATTCATTCGAAAAATTAATGTTAACCGATAGTAGTATCTCAATTAGCAAGGAGAATTCCGTTGCTTTGGGTATGGGTTTTAGATGTGGCTTTTTAGGTTTACTTCACATGGATGTAGTATTACAGCGTTTAGAACAAGAATATGGTCAAATTGTCATTGCCACACCACCAACTGTACCATACCGTTGTTTGTTAACTAGCGGTGAAGAAAAAATCATTTCAAATCCAGCAGAATACCCAACTCCAGATGTTTTAGATAGAACTTTTGAACCAATGGTTAAAGGTTTTATTGTATTACCAACCGAACATTTTGGTGCAATTGTTAAGCTTTGTATGGATAGTAGAGGTATTCAACAAAACCATGAAACTTTAGAAGGTGGTCGTATCCGTTTAACCTTTAGTTTCCCACTTGCCGAAATTGTTACCGATTTCTATGATAATCTTAAAAGGGTTTCTAGTGGTTATGCCTCTTTAGACTATGAAGATAATGGATATGCCGAATCTGATGTAGTTAAAGTACGTATTCTTTTAAATGGTGAAGAGGTAGATTCACTCTCTGCCATTGTACATAGATCAAAAGCTCAAAATTTTGCTCGTTCTTTAGTTAAACGTTTAAAGAATGTTGTTGAAAGACAAATGTTCCAAGTTAATATTCAAGCTGCTGCAGGTGGTGATATTTTATCAAGAGAAACTATTTCTGCAATGAGAAAGGATGTTACTGCTAAATGCTATGGTGGTGATATTACAAGAAGAAGAAAGTTATTAGATAAACAAAAAGAAGTAAATATCATTATTTAATTTAAATTTTATTTAAAATATAATACTAATCTTTTTTTTTTTTTAAACCATAATAGGGTAAAAAGAGAATGAAATCGATGGGTTGTGTTGAATTAAGTCAAGAGGGTTTCCTTAAACTAATGAAATCTTCAAACGATGATGAATAAACAAAATTTTAAATAAAATAAATTGTAAAAAATAAAAATAAAAAAAAAAAGAAAAATATTGTTTTAAATAATAATTGGTTTTATTAATTTATTAATTTTAATGTGTAGATGTAGTAGTTGTGGTAGTTGTGGTAGTTGTAGTGGTTGTTGGAGTATTATTATTATTATATAATAAAATTCTTGGTTTATATGAAAATAAATAATCTATTATTGATTTTCTTGATTCTTTTGGATGTTGGATTAATTTATAAATGATTAAATGTTGGAATAATAATTTTGATTTTGAAATTGGTGATATGTTATCTAAAAGACATGCAACCAATTCATTTTTTATAATAATATCATTGCTCTTATGTTTATCAATAAAGTCAAATAATACTGATGATATATCTTGAATGATGTGGGTAAATTGGTTCATTTTGGTTTTATCTAGACGCCAACTTTCTAATACATCTTCTTGGAGATCGACTAAAACTCTTGAGGTACTTCTGCTTGCTAAATCGCCCAAAGTTGATGGTGGGAGTCCTTGAATTACCTCGGTTAATTCTTTTTTAAATTTAGTTTCTCCTTTAATTCTGACATCATCGCCACAATCGAGGTTGTAGTGACTTGAACAGCTAACCAATACTGCATAGAAATTTAATAAATTCTCTTTTGATTGAATGGAATAAGCTGTTTTGAAATGCTCAATAATTGTATTGACAATAGAGAATTTGATCTTTTCATTATCGATTTTTGTTAAAATATTTTGCATCTTTAAAAACTGTTCTTCAATTGAATATTCTGTTGATAGGTTTTCAATAATATATGTATAGATACTATCTTCTTCGACTTCAACTTTATCATTCAAATGTTCTTTAATTTTTTTCTTGTAATCTTCTAAACTTATAGTTTTAATTTGGTCAATATTTTTAAATGAGTTTGTTTGTTGTTTTGTTGGTGATTGTGTTTGTTGTTGTGTTGGTGGTTGATGTTGTGATTGTGGTGGTATCTGGCTAATGTTGTTATTAATGTTATTATTATTATTATTATTATTATTGTTGTTATTATTGTTGTTATTTCTATTATTATTTTCATTTATTGAAATTTCATGTTGTTGCCCTTCTTGTTCTTCTTCCCCATCAACAATTTGAGGATTATTTACTTGTGGCTGTCTATAAAAAAATGATGCTAACCATGTATACCATGAAAGGGTCCATTGAACAACTCCATCCATATTTAATTATGACTGTGTATTTTTATTTTAAATGAAAAAAAAAAAAAAATTTAATTTTAAAAAAAAAAAAATTAAAAAAAAAAAATTATTTTAAAAAAAAAATTATAAAAAATAAAATTAATTTTTAATATAAAAAAACTTAAAAAAAAAATAGAAACAAACCAAAACAAAAATATAAACAAAAGTGTAACAGTAAATATACCAATTGATAGTAGTAAATGTAGTTATAATTTTAAATAAAAAAAAATAAAAAAGACAAATTTGAAAAAATTTGTTTTTTTTAATTTTTTTTTTTTAAAATTTTTTTTTTTTTAAAGAATTGGAAAATGGATATCTTTAAAGAAGAATCTGATGATTTTCAAAATGTAAATATTATTTTTATGACTATGTTTTTTTTCAATTGTATTAATTTTTATTTTAAAAGTATCAAAAATTATTAGCAGAAAAGGAATTTTTTCAAAAAAAGTATAACCAAATAAGAAAAGAATTTTTTTTATTTCAACAACTATTCGAACCATATCAACTAAATGTAGAAAGAAAAGAACAAAAACTACAAAACCAACAAGATGGTCAATCTGAATTAATTACTGAATTAAAAAGTCAATTAGAAGTGGAATCCTCTCAGAAATATGAACTATTCAAACAAATTAAAACAATGTATGAAATGGTACCATTATTAAAAAATAAATTAGACTCTAAAGAAAATGAACTTAAAATATTAAAATTAAAACATGAAGAGTTGGAATTGGATTTAAAACTATTATTAGAAGAGAATGAAAAACTAAAGGATGCTAACCAACAAGAAAAAGAAAAAAGAGATATTATAAAGGATAGTAAATAATATATATTATGGTAAATCGTAACATAATCCAAGAAAACAACACCTCTGCATGTACGTTAGGTTATTCGTCGACCATATGGGCTCTCAAATATATTGGGAAGGAATAGCTAAATTTAAAATAAATAAAGTTATAATAATTTAATGTTAAAAAAAATCTTTAATATTTTATTTTATTTTATTTTCTTTTATTGAACTGGTTTTGATTCATAGTTTTCGAAAAGCATTGGTATATATTTATAATAATAGGTATCTTTATATTCACCATCATGTGGTCTATATTGGAAATCTTTTGGTTCCCAATGAATACCTTTTTCCACTCTTTCTGCCTCTTCTCTTCTTTGTTTATCTTCAATTATTTTCTTTTCTTCAGCTGTGCCTTGATCATCATGCTCATTAATCTTCTTGGTGACTTTTTCCCACAAACTAAATTAAATAAAAATAAAAATTAATATATTAATCATAATGATGATGTTGTAATTTTAGATATTAAAGTTAACTTACTGATATGAGCTATTTGGTGGCTGTTGATCTAATGGTTTTTCAAATTTAACCTCGTTTGATTTTTTCAATTGCTTTACATCAAACAAAACATTTTCTTTTTGTTCTAAATCACCATTTTTGTTGCATGGTTGAATGAATACTGTTTTATCCCAATTTCCTCTAATTTTGAAGATTGGTGTATCACCATTATATAATGTTCCTTTAACACCATTCGAGTTTTTGCTACTTCCAAATAAACCCTTATATAAAAACTCGAGACTTGCACGGAATTTTCCCCCACTTGTTGAACGAATTGTGATTTCACCACTTGTAAATGTTGCTAGTTTACCTAAAACAATGCCTCTTGCTCCTAAAGTTGGTAACGAACATTCGTAAACTTCATTAAATTTTAAAAACTTAAATTCCAATATTCCTTGAAGGTGTGACTCTGCTGAATTACCTAAATATTTTACATAGGATGGGCATATATTTCCATTGACCAAAATTTGTCTTGCTGTATTATAAAAAACATAGGATGAAATAGGTGGATGATGAGATATTTGCTCTGCTTTAAAAACGCCAATATCCTTATTTTTTTCATTTATTAAATTATCTATACCCTTTAAATCCTCTTCTTTATTTTCTGACCAATAACATTCATATTGCTCACCAATAACTGGATTGAATGGCTTCTTAATTCCCTTAGGTCTTGTGTGCCATCCTGATAAATAAAATTTTACAAATTGAACAAATCTATCTTGTTCATTTTCAATTTCATTAACTCTGTATTTTAATTTAAAAAATTATATTAGTATTTTTTTATTACTATAATATTTTTTTATTACTTGTAATATTAAACTATATATAAATTATCTTACCTATATAACTCGTCTATATAAGAATACATATCAGTAAAGCTCTCTAATGTACTCCTTGTTTGAAGAAGAAAACTAGGCAAAACCATATGTTTAATTTCTTTATTTAATTTTACTTGCTTTAAAAGAGCCGCAATAATAGCTCTTTTTGAATCATTTATTTCTTCGTGGTTATTATCTGACATTATTTAAAATATATTTTTATTGTTATAAATTGGTATTGAATATACTTGTGTGTGTTTATAATTATTTTACTTTATTTTTTACTATTTATTTTTATTTTATATTTATATTTTATTTTATTTTATTTTATTTTATTTTATTTTATTTTATATATTTAAATTAAATTAAATTAAATTTTAAATGAATCTTTTTTCTTTTTTTGAAAATAAATTATTTTAATTAATTTTTATTTGTAAAAATCTAAAAAATAAATAAATAAAAAAAAATAAAAAAATAATAAATATTAATAAATAATAAAAATAATTTTTATTAAATTTTATTAAAAAAAAAAAAAAAAAAATTTATTTAGTTTGTGTATAATCTTAATCTTAACATCCCAATATTGAAAATATTGCAGTTATTTGAATTATTTGAATTGTTTGAGTTATTTGAATTATTTGAATAATTTTTAAATTTTTTGCTATTATTAGGAAATATTTCGTTGCTGTTATTCATCGTGTCAATTATCTGAAAGCACTCCTCTGTTGGAAGATAAATTCTTTTAGCTTCGTATTCAAATTCCCATTTATTTAATAACTCTTCTAAATTTTCATTGTTTGAATTATCTTCGTTATTATTTATTGTACTTTTATATAATATTTTTAAAATTGGGATAACTAAAAAAAAAAAAAAAAAAATTAATAACATTAATATTTTATGTTATTAAATTATTATTATAATTACATTTCTCTGCTTTATCACCATTATTATTTTCATTTAAACTGTAATGATTTGTTAATAGTAATGTATCCCAATTTAATATTGATATCTATAGATATTAAAAAAAAATTAGTAAATAAAAAATATTTTTTGTGTGTGTTTAATTATTTAGTGTGTATAACCTACCATTGCATATATTTTATTATCATTTAGTGATGTTAATAGAAATTTATAAATTACACTCGATTGTGATTCACATAACATTTGACTCGCTATAAAAGTTTCAAGTATATATTGCCTAAATAAATTGCTACCTTTAATATTATTTATTGGTAATGGTATTGGGGTTGTGGATATTTGATGTTTATAAAATCTATAGTTATCCAACTGTCTTGACGCTATATAACTATGACAG